CTTAGCTATTCTCAGCAATATAATGATCCAAGACAATTGTGAAGGACTTATGATGAAAAATGTATCCACCTCAGGAGGAAGAACTGATGGAATCTGAATGCAGATTGAAGCATAAATTTTTAAAAACTCTGGATTTTTTTTGAATGGAAATATATTTTGCACAACTGCACATATATAATCTGTATCAAATTGCTTGCCTTCTCAAGCAGGGGACAGGGGCGGGAGGAAGGGAAAGAATTTGGAACTCAAAAATTTAAAAAATGAATGTTAAAAATTGTTTTTTATGTGTAATTGGAAAAAAAAAGATGTAAACATTTTCATGTTTATTTAAAAAAAATGCTATGGTCATACCTAATACTGTATTAGCAATGAGAAAGCCCTCTAGCTACTAAGAATTGGTAGTCAGTGAGGAAACTGGAAATACAGATGATAAATAGAATATTCAGAAACAGCATAAGTTGGGTTTTGTCAAGCTAGAAAATCTGTATGAACAGACACTAAAAGAATGGCAGGCTCAGATCAACCAGAGATAACCAAAAAGATAGGGACAAAACTGCTGGAAGCTGGTCCAGCAAACACAGCCACTCCTCTAAAAGATAGACTAATCTACATTTTGCTATAGTCATGGATAATATGGTCACATACATGCTAGGAACAAGAAAACAATCTGGAATTGATGGTCCATGGGACCAGAATTGAGAAATAGGGTTAATGCTGGAGCTGCTCCAGGACTCAAAGAAATTAGCTCTCTCCTGCATACCTTTCCACTTGCAATTATAGAAGCTCATTCAACAGCGATTATGAGGACTTCAGATACAGTAAACCCTACTGCTTCAAGATGCTAAGCAACAAGAATTATGGTCTCTCTTAAGAACTTTGGAATTGATCGTGTGAAACGAGAGACATTGGCAGAGGACTGCCCAGAATGGTGTGCCCTCATCAGAGAAGGTGCTGTGCTCTATGAGCAAAGCAGAATTGAAGTAGCTCAAAAGAAACATGAGATGCACAAATTTAGAGAATCCACCCCAAATGTTCACATTTGTGCCTGACCTGTGGTAGAGCATTCTGAGCTCATATTGATCTGATCAGCCACAGTCGGATGCACTGTAACTTGACTCTAACATAGTGATGTCATTTTGGTCCTCTTCAAGAATGAAGGAAACAACCAGCTTTCTCTGACTTTTCTTTCTCCGCTCTGACTTCACTTTCCTCTCTTCCCAATTTCAACCCTAGAGGTAATCGGGTCAGCACAATACTATCCTTTATTCTTGAGACCCTTACCCCCTAGTCCTGTTGTTGCTCATCCACTGTCAAACTCTCAGCTTGGATTACTTCCACTAATTGTCTCTTCCACTCCCACCCATGTGTTGCTGAATGGAGCTAGAGGAAGTCAAGCAATTAAACTGATTGAATATACTACAAATTTTTGTTAACTAACCTTAACAAAGCAATATTTTTAATCCTAATTGATTGCCTATCTTATTCCCCAAAGAAGTCATTCCAAACATTCTCTTCTTTCCTCAAGCCTCTCACACAGCCTCCTCCCTTGCCCTTTTAGCTAAATGCCTTGCCTTTTATTTTACTAAGAAAACTGAGAACATTCTATATAAGCTCTATTTTCTTGATCTCAAAACACTTTGCATCATTCCCTATTCTCTCTTCCTTTCCTTCAATCCCTGATGATGGGGTGGCCTTTCTCATTTCCAAGGTCTTTATATGTTCTTGATCCCAGAAGACTGGCCCCTCAATCATGCTCTCCTCCAGTATTTCATGCCTTCTTATTTATTGTTTTTTTCAAATATGCCCAAGTCTATCCTATTCATAAAAAATGTTCACTACAGCCTATTATCCCCTCAAATTATTTTCCCATCTCTCCTTCTATTCACAGCCAAATGCCTAGAAAACACTGTCTATATTTGCCTTCATTTTCTCTCACTCTTTTCAACATCTTGCAATTTGGCTTCCAACCTCATCACAACCAATATCATATTGCAAATTACAGATATATTTTTAAATTCACCTCTTATAAACCACAGAAACAGCATATACAGTGTAACTAGGTATATACACAAGCATATATAAAGTATATATGAGATATACATTTATATATATGTTTATACATACATATGCATATGCACATATATGTGCATATACATACATACATACATACATACATATATATATATATTTGTTGTTGTTTAGTCATTTCAGTTGTGTCCAACTCTTCTTGATTTATTTGGGGTTTTCTTGGCAAAGATATTGGAATGCTTTGTCATTTCCTTCTCTAGCTCATTTTACAGATGAGGAACTGAGGCAAACAGGTTCAAGTGATTTGCCCAGGGTCACATAGTAAGTGTGTAAGGCTAGATTTGAACTCAGGAAGATGAATCTTCCTGACTCCAGGCCTGGCACTCTGTCTACTGTACCACCTACCTGCCTCATGATGAGAAGAGAGACACAGTAATAAATCATTGGGACAGCTGTAAATTGATGGAATTATTCTGGAAGACAATTTTGAGTTATACAAAAAAATTAACGTTGCAAACTCCTGGACATGTTGTACCACAGAGATTAAAAACAAAGTATTGATTGCTTATTTTTCTTCGGTTGGTGTGCCATTTACTCTTTCTGAAATAGACTGGCTTTGCAAGATGTTCTCTCTAGAAATTGGTTATTTCTTCCTAGCTATTATGCTATCAGATGAACCATGATAACCTTGGATTATGGAACATAGGTTACAAAATATTTCTAGCAATACTTTTTATAGTAACAAAATTGGAAACAAAATAGGTGAAGGAAGTAGAACCAGGATAATAATATTCCGCCAGGTCCCTTTTGGTGTGAATAATGAAGTATGTATTTGAATTCCTATTATTCAAAGTTGTAGTTATGTAAAATAAGGTTATTGGTTCCAGCATAATGATGCAGTGTGAATTCAAATAATGTGAAAATTCATTATTTGTGTAACTGAGTCCCAAGGCCCATTGATATGGGACTTTCATCATTGGTTAAAATCAATGCCCTACACCTGCATAAGAGTGAGGTGGAGTTGGTAACAAGGAAAGATAAAAGAGCTCCAGTCTCTTCAGTCATTTTGAGTCTCTTCAGTTTCTTTGGATTTCTTGAGTCATTTTGAGTTATGTAGCCACTTGGGGTGCTTCTGGCTTCCAGTTGCAAGAGAAAAGATGGACAATGCCAACTCCCACTCAAGTTGCTGAAAGGAAACTAAGACTCTGGAAAGAAGCTGACTTGAGAGGGGCTGGCAGTCTCCATCATGTCTCTATCCCTAGCTTGTGCCACCAGAGACTTTGAGGAACTTCCCCTGGGTTGAGATCCAGGACTCTCTTTATTCTCAATGGGAGAGCTCATTTATTCTGTATTGTCTGTTATATATTCTCCAATGTATACTTTCTCTGATTTCTGTTTTGCTATTGATTTGGATAAATAACTACTATGTGGGTTCATTGTGGAACTGGTATTAAGTAGGAAAGGGATCAAGCCTAGGAAATAAAGCTTAGGGTCTTTCTTTTCCCCAGTTAATGAACAGCAGTCAGACGTTTAGCTCGAACCTAAAAACCACATCCCCCTAGACTAATAATATTTAAGAAAGCAGATAGATATAATTCTAGCCTGGTATCCCCTCTCTCTAAAAAGAGCAGAGTGGTCAAGCTTCTGATCACAACCTCCTGCATCCCCTTCTGGCATTATTTAAAGTAAGAGGGAGAAGAGGCTGGAGATATTTATTCTGTCTCTCATGCAAAATGACACCCGCATGCTACACATTGGAGAGGAGGGATAGCCTCATTACATTTGTACTATTGAGGACCTAGTTGTATACAATGACTACAATAATGCAAATGAAGAACAACCCTAAAAAGGCAGGTAAACTTAGATAATTGCAATGATCAATCTTGATCTTGGAAAACAAATGATGAAACAGTCTTTCCTTCTCTTGGTAGTGACATTTGTTTTACTGTTTTTCTTTATAACGAGGAAGAGTTAGATATGGGGGAAGAACATCAGGAAATGACTGTGATATAAAAAACAAAGGCAAGATAAAAATAAATGAATGCTGTGAGAAGGATTTGTATAAAATGAAAATATAAGAATGAATTATATATTAGTATCTATTGAGTAAAAGCATATACAGATTAGTGATATTTGTTAATAGATTTTAAAATCTCTTATCCATAAGACTAAAATGATCTTTTTCTGTATTAAAAAATGGGTGACTGAATGCATAGCATACCCATGGGTTGAGAATCATATAGTGCTATTTCAATTTTATATTCTCATCCAAAAGCAGACTAATAAGAGTTAACATATGACTCTTAATAGGTATAACTGGAGTTGCCTTATCATTTTTATCTTGATTACCTTCCTATGGAAGCAGTTTAGACTTTATTTCAAGAAAAAAAAATACAGAATCATAAACACTTTGAATAAGCCCAACAGAAAGGTTAATTCCCAATGAGAACTTGGGGAGTTGTGATTTCAAAATGAGCTGACCCTAAGAAACATGGCCATGCAGCCTTTAGCTCACTACCATCTAAAGACTCAATCCAGGAAGCTGAAGCACTGTACTCAGTGCTACAAACTGTAAGATTGTGCACAATACTACATTGTGAGATTCTTAGCACAATGTCTTTCATATAGCAGCTGCTTACTAAATATATTAATGAATTGAACTGTTAGACATCAAGCATTTATTAAATGCTTACTATGTGACAGGCACTGTGTTAAGTGTGGCAATACAAACAGAAGCAGAAAGTTCCTGCCCTCAAAGAGCTTAAATTCTAGTGGGGAAAGGGAACTGAAAGGGTTGTGGGGAGAGTAGGTACTTGGTTCGGGGCACCAGGCAGAGGAAGTCCTATGGAGATGACTCAGCAGTGCAGCCTAGATAGGGATGAAGACATTTTGGGCTGAATCTCCTCCTTAAATTGGAAGGTCTTGGAGGAACCAGTCAATCAGAAAGTCCTCCCACTATATGTGACCCTTACCTTTCACCATCTGGGGCACTTGTCTCTCATCCTCTAGCAAAACTTTAATATGTTCTCTGAGTTGCCGACTCAGATCAGTATTTCCAGAAATAGAGTAAGGCACAATGGTTTGGCCATATTGTTGCAAACTCATCTCTAATTTAGGGTCATCTCGCACTTCTGAATAGAAGGTGATGGCTCTCAGAAGTATGGCAGTGAATGTCAGAAGTACCAAAATTTGCAGAAGTATTAACTTCCAATTACGCACACTGAACGTAGCCCTCTTCACTAACATGGCATAGAACTGCTGGCTGTAGAGATAAATCTAAAAAGCAGAGAGAAATAAAGTATTATAATGGTTACTGAATCATAGAATTTGAGAGTTAGAATAGACCTCAGGGATCATCCTGTTGAACTCAAATGCTATAGGAATACCCCTTGAAACATACTCAGCTGCAGGATATTTACACTGAAACTCTTTGTAGCTTACAATATGACTGTAGTTTAATAGTAGTTAAAGAACAAAGAATAAAGAATAAAGAGGTATTCCTGAACAGAGTGCCTTGGCCAACACAAGTAATGTAGCAGAGATAATCAGAATAAGCAGACTACACTAAAAAGTTTCTGCTTATGTTTACAAAAATATTTGATGAAAGAAAGATTGATTTCTGAAATCACCATTTATCACAAACTCACAAGACTAAAAAAAAAAAACAACCTCTCAAAACAAGGACAAGAATTCCCCCTGAACATACATTGAATATCTTTATGCATTATGAAGAACAAAATCTCTCATATAAGCATAGTTGTTATATTGCACAAATGAATAATTCCCACAAAACCTGGAAGTGCCAACTTCCCTTGTCTGTTTTTACCACATGCAAATGGTGCAGTGTGTGGAGACAGAAAAAGCCCTGGCCTGGGAGTCAGGAGGCCTGACTTCTAACTTTATCTTTACCTTAACTAACTATGTGTCCTAGGGGCAAATCACCTCTCTAGACCTTACTCTCCCTATTTACAAAGTCAGAGAGGGAGATTCAGGGACTTATAAAGTCCTTCCTAGTTCAAACATTCTTAGCTCTATTTATCTAGAACACCATGCCCAAACTAAAAAAAAGTTATAACTTAAAAACAAGGGTTCTTAATCTTTTTTTTTTTTTTTGTATCATGGACCCCTCTAATGGTTTGGTGAAGTCTGTGGACCCCTTCTCAGAAGAATATTTTTAAATTTATAAACTAAAATACATAAAATGACAAGGGAAAACAATTATATTGAAATCAAGACTCAGTCAGAAAACATTTATTAAGTACCTACTAGGTGCCAGGCACTGGGCTAAAGTTCTGGAGATACAAAAAGAGGCAAAAGGCAGTCATGGCTCTCAAAAAGCTCACAATCTAATAAGGGAGACAACAAACAAACAAATATGTACAAAGGAACTAGATGCAAGACAAGTATGAAGTAATTAAAAGAGGATTAAGAACAGTTCAGAAAGATTTCTTGTAGAACAGAGGTGTCAAACCTTTTGCCCACAATACTCCAAGAATTGCCCAAACCAGATTAAAAGGTAATTGGGAAATATTTAACAACATAATTAAAATATATTTTAAAACTGAGTCAATATGCAGCCTGCAAGGATCTTTATGTACCAATTAATGGTCCTCCTTTCTATTTGACACCACTGCTAACAGAGAGACTTGAAGGAAGCCAGGGAATTCAGGAGATAGAGAAGAGGAGGAAGAGCATAGGGGACAGCAAGAGAAAATGCCTGAAGTTGAGACATAGAGTGTTTTGTTTGTGAACATCAAGAAGGTCAACATTAATGGATCAAAGAGTATATGGAATAAGATGTAAGAAGACTGTTAAGGTAGGATGGGGCTAGGTTATGAAGGGCTTTGAACACCAAAAGTGGATTTTATATTTGATCCTGGAGATGTCAGGGTGCCACTGGAGTTTACTAAGTATAAGGGTAGTATGCAAATAACTCTTGCATCTCAGAGTTCTAGAAGTTCAGGCATCCAGGAGAAATGGCAGTTAAAATAAAGGGAAGGATGATTTTTCCAACCAACATATATATTTTGGTATACCTGTTTTCTCAGTCCTGATGACCATGCCATTAATAATCATTTCACATGTCAACCTGCACATGCATCAGAGGATGCCAATAAAATGAAAATTGAAATAAAAATTCTAATTAATTTGAAATAGAAATTTATCTTAAAACTGCCCAATTTAACTTTCTCTGAGTTCCTAATAAATAATGTAACTATTAATTTTAGCTTGTTGCCCCAAAGAAGCTTTCCTTTTTGGGGAAGTAATATACTAGCCTATAGAGATGTAAAAGTTAAAATTCAACATGTAAATTAATAAACACAGTATCCCATATGTTTAATTAGCATGAAATCACTTTAGCTAACTCAAAATTGCTTACTAAACTCTGGAAGAACTAGCAACCAAATTCTTGGGTGACAGAGTTGAAAAATCACATTTTAAAGCAAAAATATATGACCCAGAATGATGACACTAGTAAGAACAGCAAATATAGTATTTTCCAAAGTTTTCCTTGTAATAACTTACTGTGGTATAGCCTCTGCATCACAAAGTTACTTGAATAGCACAGAACAGTCAATATATCCTAAATCTGGCTGAATATTCCATTGATGATATTTCTAACTTTTTAGTTCAAATACTGAAATCAAAACATGTACCTTGCTTGCTAACCAAATCTTCCAGGCTTACAGTTTCAAGCAAGATTGCTTACCCCTGTATTGAATTTGACAGAGTGGTAGTGGTGCTCATGGTGCTGCTTGACATCTTGTTTGCTATCGTCTTCATCACTGTCACTAAGATAAATACCCATGTCATCTCCTTCTAAAGACATTCTGCTGGCCTGTCTCAGGAACTCTTTATTCGAGGCAGACAGTTGGATGGCTTGGAGATCCATCTTGGAATCCACCATCTTACCAACCCTGTACCAAAAAGCATTTCACTTTAGCTGGAGCTGAAAGTTACTTGTCTTTGGGAGGCTGTCAAGGTAACTGATAAAACACTAAATAGTACCCTTAGTAAGGCATACAGCAGAAATAAAGAGGGATCATTTTTCAACACATCAAAACAGGAAAACTTTCTAATTACTGAGAAATATGGGCATATCTGCAAAATATATAATTAGAAATGACCTCTGCAGTCAAACTTATAGGAAATTGAAAATCCAGTTACATTTTGTAGGACAAAAATCTTACTTAGGGATGTATAGTGGTTCTAAAGTTCGTGAAAGTGCTTAAAAGATTTCTGAGGAGCATGTATGATAGGTCTTAAAATCATTTACATACTACAAAGTCAAGAGACTAGTAAAGATAATTATAAAGTTTTATATTATATTATCCCTGATTTTTTAATCGACTATCCATTGCTATAAAAGTGCTTTTGTGCTTTCTGATCTTTCATCTAGCTATAAAAAATTAAGTCCATTATTCAAGAACAAAAAGGATGAAGTCAAATGGGAAGAATTTGTTTCAGCAATCCTGCAGGAATGGAATTGACACAGGTTATAAAGAACAACAAAACAAGAAAAAGTAAACTCCACAAATAATGAAGAATTTTACTAGCTGAACTTTGTTTCCACCTTCACGTATATCTTTAATAACTTAAGCTTAATACAACTTAGTCTACTGACAATTTCCTTTCCATGGAGAATTCTATCATGTGTGCCGGTTGCGCCGTGCACTCTCCTTCTAACAGGAGCAGGCTGCCAAAGTCATACTTACCAGTCTTCGGAGCCCACCCAGATAAACATAAAGACGAGCCGATCGGGAGGTGCACGCACTCAAACTTTATTCAGAGGCCATCACAGCAAGGCCAAGCAGGAAAGCAAGAGCAAGAGAGCGTGAGCTCCAATCCCTACCGCCTTTATATACCTTCCTAGCCCCTCCTCCTCAGCCCGCCTACCAGTGAATGATTGTAGGATCAGATACCGGAAGGGGATGTCTTGGCAAGGGAGAGGACGTGACAAAGGAAGCTAGGCCCGGATACCAGAAGGAGACATCTGGGGTTAGCGCTGTACCTAGGGAGAGGACTAGACAAAGGGAGCTAGGCCCGGATACAGGAAGGAGACGTCTGGGGTTAGCGCTGCACAAAGGGAGAGTACGTGACACAGGAAGCTAGGCCTGGATACAGGAAGGAGACGTCTGGGGTTTGCGCTGCACCCTGGGAGAGGACTAGACAAAGGGAGCTCGTTCTCTGCCGTCCCACTCCCACGTGGCACAGCCCCCTGCCTCAGGGGCACATGCTTTGGCTACTTCCCCGTATCCTGTTCCTACCCCAGTTCACCACAACTCCACATGGCACAGCCCCCTGCCTCGGGAGCGTGAGCTCTGATTACTTCCCCGTATCCAGTTCCTATCCCAATTCACCACAACTCCACATGGCACAGCCCTCTGCCTCGGGAGTGTAAGCTCCGGTTACTTCCTAATATCTTGTCCCTGCCCCATCTTGCCACAACCCCCACGTGGCACGTAGCCAACATCAGACAATCCCTCACAATCATGGAATCACTGAATTTCAGTTGGAAGGGATATCAGAAGATATTTAGATTAACCCATGCCTGACCAGAAATCCCCTCTATAAGCTTAAATTTAACTCTGTTCCTTTCAACTCATGTTTCTAGTTCTTCTCCCTGTAGCCAAGTATGACAAGTCAAACAAGGACTTCAATGCCATCTTCTCCAGTATTCCTGATTTCCTCTTATCCCCATGACTTCCCACTATTCCCAACTAACCTGCTAAGCCCTGTGCCTAGATCATCTCATCCATCTACTTCTATACTTGTATTTCAAAGTAATATAAAGGAAAGTCCTTGAACTGAATAGATAAAAACTATTCAAAGTTCACATTTTTCTGATTTTATTTTATTTTTTTCATTTTTCTTTTCTTTTTCTTTTTTTTTTTTTTTGGCAATTGGGGTTAAGTGACTTGCCCAGGGTCACACAGCTAGTAAGTGTCAAGTGTTTGGTCTGAGGCCAGATTTGAACTCAGGTCCTCCTGACTTCAAGGCCGGTGCTCTATGCACTGTGCCACCTAGCTGCCCCATATTTTTCTAATTTTAACAAGGAACTTGCCACTGCAAGGAAGTGCTCTCATTTAGTCTGTGCTCATATACATACATACCTACATACATATCTGCACCTTGCTTGCTTGAAATTTTTTTTCTTTAAATCCCCAGTTCCTCTGTACCTCACTGATTTTATATTGTATTTCATTAATGTGTGTGTGTGCGTGTGTGTGTGTGTGTGTGTGTGTGTGTGGGTGAGAGGGTGAGAGAGAGAGATAGAGAGTGAGAGATAGATATTCCCCTTCAGCAAACAGTCCAGGCCATATATCCATGGACCATATCCATGACTAGGCTTTTACCTTTTAAGCTCTCTTGTGCTCTTTGAGAGGTGTGAAAAATTTCCATTTATGCTCTATCTCAATTACTCAATTGACAAGCATTTATTAAATGTCAGTAAGTCAACAAGCATTTATCCTCTGTGCCAGGCACTGGGCTAAGTGCTAGAATGCGAATATAAGCAAACAAAAGACAGTTTCCATCCTCAAGGAACTTATATTCTAATGGGAAAGATGACACAAATAAGGAAGCTGAACAGGTAAGGGGAGAGGAAGGTATGTTAAAGTTCAGAATGCAGCCTGGTGAGACATGAAAAGACAGCTGGCCCAGGAATCTTTAAATGGAGGTTCTGGTGGGGTACTTCAGAGAAGCAAATTCCAGGGCTGAAGTGATCTTCTAGGATGAAGAGGTGAAGTCCTGGGTACAGCCTGGTAAGAAGTATTAAGTGCTGTGCTAGATGCTGGGGATACAATTATAAAGAATGAAATAATCCCTGCTGTCAAGGGGCTTACATTCTATCACAACTAACTAATCAATAAACCTATTATGTGCCAGGCACTGTGTTATGCACCAGGGATACAAGGAAAAAAAAAACAAACAACAAATTATTTCCTAACCTCAAGAAGATTACATTCTGGATGGAGGGGGAAGTGACATATGAAAAATAAATAAATGTACAAATTATACATATAACAAATACAAAGTGATTTTTAAGGACAGAAACACTAATAACTGGAAGAATCAGAAAAGACCAATGGAGCTGAGCCATGAAGGGGGCTAGTGGTTCCAAGAGGCGGAGGTGAAGGGGATATCATTCTAGGCTGTGGAAGGACAGCCTGGGAAAAAGCCAGGGAGTGGCTTTTTGTAGTGGCAAAGAATTGGAAATTGAGGGAAAGCCCATCAATTGGGGAATGAATGAACAAATTGAGGTATGTGATTGTGATGAAATACTATTGTGCCATAAGAAATGATGAGCAGGATGCTTTCAGAAAAACCTGGAAAGATTTATATGAATTGATACAAAGTGAAGTGAACAGAACTAGGAGAACACCATACACAGTAACAGCAATATTGTACCATGATTAACTGTGAATGACTTACCTATTCTTAGTGATACAATGATTCAAGACAATTCTTAAGGACTTAAAAATGCTATCCATCTCTAGAGAAAAAACTGATGGAGTTTGAATGCAGATTGAAGCATACTATTTTTTTTTTGGTCTATGTTTTCTTTCACAATATGACTAATATGGAAATGTGTTGCGCATGAGTGCACACGTATAACCCATAATTGCTTGAGGGGGAGAGGTGAAAGACAGGGAGAGAATTTGGAACTCAAAATTAAAAAAAAACAAATATTAAAAAATGTTTTTACATGTAATTGGGAAAAATATTAAGTGTAGCTAAAGAAATGACTTCTGAGCTGTAATGAAAAAAAAAAGTCAGGGAGTAGAAAATGGAATGTATTAACAGTGAACAGCAAATAGGCCAGTTTGCCTGAAGCATAGTATTCATGAAAGGGAGCTTAGAAAGCTGGAGCAAAATTGGGAAGGATTTTAAATGCAAAAATTGAGAGTTTATATTTTATCCTAGAGGTAATGGGCAGCAACTAGAGTTTCTTTAGTAGGAGAGTAATATAGTCAGATCTATGCTTGAGGAATATTTATTTGGCAGTTCTATATATAAGTAGATAAAAAAGAAGTGAGGTCAGATGCAGGAAGATGGATTTGCTGATGCTCCATCCTGAGGGACCAGGTTGTTATAATCTCCCTTGTTAACAATTTTAGCCTCATTTACTCCGCTAACTTTTTACTTTCTTGCTTTAGACACAAGCTGTGGGACCCTAAGCAAGTCACTTAATTTCTCTTGGCCTCAGTTTTCCATCTGCAAAATGAAGATAATAAAAGCACCTGCTTCACAGGATTTTTGTGAGGATCAAATGATATGACATATGAAAGGGCTTTGCTATATAAATACCAGCTATAATTGCTGTTATTGTTATAATTGTTGCTTTAAATATACTCATTTAACAATTATTTTATTTTCAGTTTTATTTTTCTCCCTCCTCCCTCTCTCCCACTCATCGAAAAGCAAAGAAAAATAAATCTGTAGTGAATATGTATAGTTATGCAAATCAAATTTCCACATTAGTCATGTCCAGAAAGAAATAAAATATGCTTCAATCTGTACTAATCCATCATTTCTCTATGTGGACCTGATAAATGCCTCATTTCTTAAATATATAGGGAACTGAGCCAAATTTACAAAAATAAGAGCCATTCTCCAATTGATAAATGAATGTTCAAACAATATGAGCAAGCAGATTTCAGAAGAAGAAATCAAAGTTATCAACAGTCACATGAAAAAATGTTCAAAATCACTATTGATTAGAGAAATGCAAATTAAAATAATTCTGAGGTACATCACCTCATACCTATTAGATTGGCTAACATGACGGAAAAGGAAAATAACAAAGGCTGGAGGGGATGTGGGAAAATAGGTATGTTAATGCAGTGTTGGTAGAGTTGTGAACAGGTCTAACTATTCTGGAGAACAATTTGGAACTGTATTCAAAGGGCTATAA